GCGATCTTCCCGGGACGGGCGGCACTAGGACCGGGCATTATTCCCAGATAGGAGGCCCCGCCCCGTGCACCTGTACCGGGGGAAGGAGGGGGGGGGTAGAGGAGGTGGCCCCGCCCCTCCCGGACGCACCTGAGGCCCCGCGGCCGCCGTGGAGCAGGTGAGCGGGGGGAGGGGGAACGGGGGTCCTGGTGCTGAGCCCCCGCCGCGGTGAGGGGGTCTGGGGGTCCCGGTAAGGAGCCCTTGCCCCGGGGGAAGGGGGTCTGGATGTGCTGGTGGTCCCGGTGCGGAGCCTCGTTCTGCAGTAAAGGGGTCCGGGGGTCCCAGTGCGGAGCCCTCGCCCGGGGGAAGGGGGTCCGGGGGTCCTGGTGGTTCCCGTGCCGAGCCCTCGCCAAGGGGGAAGAGGGTCCTGGGGGCCCCAGTGTGGACCCTTCTCCACGGGAAGGGGTTCTGGGGGCCCCAGTGTAGAGTCCTGGCCCGGGGGAAGGGGGTCCGGGGGTCCCGGTGTGGAGCCCTCGCTTCTGGGGAAAGGGGTCTGGGGGGTCCCAGTGTGGAGCCCCCCCTCTCGCGCTAAAGGAGTCTGGGATCCCGGTTCCTGTCGGGGTCCAGGGGTGGAGCCCTTCTCGCTCCGGGGGTGCCGGTGGTCCCGCTGTGGACCCTTCTCCACGGGAAGGGGTTCTGGGGGCCCCAGTGCGGACTCCTGGCCCGGGGGAAGGGGGTCTGGGGGTCGCGGGAATCTCGGTATGGAGACCTCGCTTCCGGGAAAAGGGGTCTAGGGGGTCCCAGTGCGGAGTCCCTGCCCGGGGAAGGGGGTCCGGGAGGTCTCGGTGTGGAGTCCTCGCTTCCGGGGAAGAGGGTCTGGGGGTCCCAGTGTGGAGCCCCTGCCCGGGGGAAGGGGGTCCAGGGGTCCCGGTGGTCCCAGGGTGGAGCCCCCTCCACCATCGGGGGGCCCGGAGGGGGTGAGGAGTGTCGGGGTGGGGGGTCCCAGTGGGAAGCCCCTCTCCGGGAAACGGGGGGGTCCCAGTGCGGAGCCCCCCCCCCGCAGCAGGGAAAGGGGTCTCTGAGGGGGTCCAGGTGAGGAACCTCCCCCACTCTGGAAGAAAAGGGATCCGGGGGGTCCCGGTGTGGAGTCCCTTCCCCTCCGGATTAAGGGGGTCTTGAGGATCCCGGTGTGCAGGGAAAGGGGGATCTGGGGGATCCTGGTGAGGAGGGGGAGTCTGGGGATCCCGGTGCGGAGCACTCCGGGGGGGGAGGGGGGGTTGGGGACCCGAGGGTCCCGGTGCGGAGCCCCCCCTCCATGGAAGGGGATCCGGGGGGTCCTGGGACGGAGCCCCCGGGGCAGCCCAGCGGCTCCAGGGGCTGTGGCAGCTCCGAATAATAGATATTAATAATATATTAATAATATATTAATAATATATCAATAATATGTTAATAATATATTAATAATATGTTAATTAATATATAATATAATACAAATGACAGTATAATAAATAATATAATCTTAATATATTAATATAAAATTTAATAATATAATAGAAATGATAATATACTAAACAGTATATTAATGATATATTAATAATATATTAATTAATTGATAATATAATGTTATAAATAATATAATAATATATTAATAATACATTAATAATATATTAATGTATATTAATAATATATCAATAATATATCAATATAACAGTATATTACTGCATTAATATATCAATATTGTATCAATATATCAATATGTTATCAAGGAGGTGGAAGGACCCCGCCCCCTTCTCCCCCCCCACGGGTCACTCTAAACCCCCCCGCGGGGCAGAGACACCCCCCACCCCCCATCCCTGGGGGTTCCCCAACTCCCGGAGCGGGTCCAGGACCCCTCGGACTCATCCCAAGGGATGAGGGCAGCGCCTGGACGGCGGGAGCAGCATCACCCCCCCCCTCCCCAGCACCTCCCGCTCCTCACACGGGAGCCGAATCCCACCGGGAACAATTCCGGGGTGTTTTTCTTCCCGTTGTTTTTTCCCGATCCCAGCCGTTCCCGCCGTCGTGTCTCGCTGCCACGTAGAGCCCGCGGCCACGTCGCCCGCGGCCGTGGCGGTGTCGATTTACTCCGATTTTATTTATCTTCCCTTTTTTTTCCCCCTCTCCCCCCCCGAGGATTCCTCTCTCCATTTTCTTCCTCTTCCCACCGTTCCTCCTTCCCGCGCCGCGGGGGATGC